GGTTGTAATCGAGCTTGAAGTTGACGCACCTGCACTACCGACGTTCTAGAACACTCTGCCTTGTCATGCAATTCAAATAGGAAGATTATTACAATAAGTTTTAAAGACCTATGGCACGTAAATTATAGCTAGAAAACACCAATTTCCTATTTTATTTTAGGATTTATTATTTTATTTCCAATTAATCAGATTAGGATAAATGTTACTTTAGGATATTAGAATATTTTGAGGATTTTCAGTAGAATTAGAATTAGCATTTAGATATTTTTAAAAGAGAGATCAGGTTAGGGATTACAACACATATCACAGACGCCTCTCTCTTCTCTCTCTGGTGGATTTTCGTTTTTCCTTTGAATTTTCGTGATGGCCATGAGTGGCTAATTTTTATAACTTGGTCGAAGGAAACAAGACCTCGGAATCAATAAACTGTGAGATCTAATCCGTTTTATTTTAGTGTTCAATTTATGTTTGAGTATTGGATGTTCTTCTGTGCCTAATTTTATGATTGTTGCATTTAATTACTAGGAGGCCTACTAGTTTATTAATTGTTGCAATCTACTGTAAGTTACATATCAAATCCGTAATTGTTTGATTCCTCTAACTTGTGAAGCAATTAGGGTAAATAATTTGCTGCGTTAGGAATTAGTAATCTTAAGAAGACCACTCGACTAAATTAAATACAATCGCTTGAGTTTGTGTTGTTTAGCTTCATCTATTTCTCTAATTCTTAAGGCTACCACTAGATTAAATCTTTAGCACCTGTCTAGGGTTGTTTAGTGGTAAGATTAATTAAGATCGCTTGTTTCCTAATTAATTACAATTAAGGAGAGATAGGAAAATAGTTCCAAGAGTGAATATTCAAAGTAAGAATTGATTTACCTTTGCATCAATGATCAGTTGTAAGATTCCGACGGTGGATGTTGATGGAGACCAAGTTTTGTTATTTTGATTGATTTAGATTTGAATTGCTTTTGTTTTTCCTGAGATTATTTCTGTTTTACTAAAACCCCTTTCAGCCTTGTTCACATAACATAAAATACGGCTAGACACTCTCTGTGGGAATGACCCTGACTCACGCTACTACATGTGTTTTTAGGTTTTAATCTTGGGTGCCTACGACAGCATGCCACCAGGGCAAAGAACACTCTAGAATTTTTTGAGAAAATTCTGGAAACCTTGCTCAAGGGCAAAATAGTCATTTCACTCATAATTAGTTTAAGGTGTGGGGAGTGAAAAGTAGTAGAATTTCATGAAGAATGCAATGGAAATAAGGGCATTATTGTAATTGACTAAAAGGCAAAGATGGAATTTCATAGAAAGGACAAGGGCAAAATGGGAAAGTATAAGTAATATTATGTGATATTAAGGGTTCAAGAATTGAAACCCTACCATTCTTTAGACTCCCTCACACGCCACCTTCATCCCCAATTCTCTCAATTTTCTTCACCAAATTTCCAAGGAAATTTATAGGATTTTGGTAGATTTTTAATCCAAAGCATCCAAAGGTAAGATTCTTGCACCAAGATGTAAGATTAATTTTTTTAAAGTGTTGAGTTCTTATAGTTTATATGCTTAGGGTTTAAGAGGAAGAGGAAGTCTACCAAAGATAGAGATTCTAGTGTGGAACTACTTAAGTTCAAGGTAAGTAAACCCAACCCTAGTCATGATTTGAGCAAGAATTGTGTAGAGAAATTTTTATATACATTTATTTGCTTGAATGTTGACAATTGTTGATGGAATTGATGTTGAGTGTTGGTTAGCATTCCACCATGAGAAGTAGTGTTTAGTATGAGATGAATTGGTGGAAGTTTGAAGAAGTTATGAAAGAGTTGGAATAGAATTTTGAAGTGTGAACTTCCTGGCCATGTTTGAAGTTGATTTTAGAGAATTGTGCTCCAAATTTTGGTAGCTAGAAAAAAGAGATAGAAGTGTGGTTGATTTAGTGCTTGTTTGTGCATACAACTTGTTTGATGAAATTTCAAAGTGAAGTGCATGTATGATTATGATAGCAGATTATCTTGAGATGAGTTTGTAGATGGTAGAGAAAGTAGAGAATGACATGTTTACATGCCATATTGCATTCTTGCATTTAAACATTTGAATTTAGGAAGAATAACAAGAAAAAGTCCATCTACATGCATACATGCATATAAGCACACTAAAGAACAAAGAGAAAGAAAAGAAAACTACTAAAGAAAAGAAAAGAAAAGAAATTGAATACAAATTTCTAAAAGAAAGACAAGAAAAAAGAAGGTTGTTGCGATGAGGAACCCATGAGTGACAAGAAGAAGAATATTCCCACATGCACGCCGCCCTTAGTGAGCGGCCTAAGAATAAGAAAGAAGAATTTTAACATTTTGTAAGAGTGCATGTGGATGAGGACTGTACCCAGAAGAATATACCTACATGCACGCCGCCTTTAGTGAGTGGCCTAAGAATAAGAAAGAAGAAGTTGTACGGTTCGTAAGAAGTGCATGTAGATGAGGACTATATCCACTCACATGGCCGAGGTTCCGAATCCATGCCTCAACCGAGTCCGATCGGGAAACAAGAATAGAAAAGAAAGAAAAGAATAGAAAAGAAGAAAGAAAGAAAAGAATAGAAAAGCAAAGAAAGAACAGAAAGAAAAGAAAGAATAGAAAGAAAGAAAGAAGAGAAACAAAAACAGAAAGAAAAACAGAATAAGTAAACAGAAAAACAGTAAAGAAAATGCATCTCTTATGCATTTGTGCATATGCATTATGCCATGTCTATTATTCAGAATTAGTTTCCTATTTATACTTACATGTTAGTAAGTGAGAAGGAAGAATTTTAGAAAGCACAGAGAAGAATAGAGAAGTTTGATGTAAGGAAAGAAATTCAAAATATGAATAACGGAGGAAGAAGAACGGTATAGCGGATTTACTTACTAAGCAATTAGTGCTCACTCCGTTAATTTCACTGTTTTTACAAGTAGTAGGTGAGAAGCGGTTGGAGGGAATGTCGAGAAGCGGGAGAGAATGGCACAACTGTCTAGTTATATTTTGAGCTTATGTATATAACTTTTGACCTAATGTAGAGGACTTCTTTATGAAAATAAAGTAAATTTTTTGGCCCATTATCTTATGCTTATATGCTTATATGTTTTCTATATCATATTTAATAATTTGATATCTTATTTGCCAAAGTATCCTAGCTAGAGAGGGTTATTACAAGACAACTCCAGTACATGTTTCTTGAACGTTTACTTGGTATTTTATTAAGTTAAAAATAAGACTATTGACTTTGTAACCTCCAACATGCAAGCTTTCTTTTGTATTTCTGAGATGAGACAAAGCTTTGGTTGCCAATTAATGTAAACCAACATGGTTTATAACTCTATTTTGTCAAATTTTTGGATTCGCATGAGCTATTTAAAGAATGATATCGGATGGGTTTTATGTTTTCTGCAAGTTTAGAGACTGAAAATACCACAAAAGTTGTGAAGTTTCTTCAAGTTTGAATTTTATATTTGTTTGCTTCTTCAGATTTATGGGTCTACAATTTTAAGTGTTTGTGTTGTGTCTTTCAATCTAGTTTATGATCATAGCAGCTACAACTAACTCATATGATGGTAAGTTCTTGCTTTGGTGATTTGTAACTGAAGGATCTTTAATGTATGTGATGTTTTAGCTGAGTGTTGGTGAAAAATTAAGATTCAATGACTGTAAATGAATCATCAATTGAAGGGTTTTGGTTATAACTTTTGGTTTAGAGTTGATGGTTATCTCTGCTTAATAATATGCTCTCCTTTTCCTAAAATCTCACTTCTTAATATGCTAATTCCACTAATTATTCCCTCCCCTAGCACACTTACTTTTCACACAACAATATCACCTAACCAACCTCCACTAACACATGCTCACATGCCACTCACACCTCCTACCATCTTTTATCCTTATGCCCCTGATACCCCTTCTTACTGATAGAACTCCCTGCCAATTTCACACTCTAACCAGCAAGCAGTATGCAACAAAAATGCAAATAACACAACAAAAATTCTGGAAGAGTTTGGATGCAAATTCACATTTTGGCATAACCAATAACCAAATTCACATCAACACAAATAGCATTATTGCACAACCAATTAAATATGCCTCATTCATCAATACAAATAGCATTATTGCACAACCAATTAACTTATATCCTTTGGAGAGTTTTGATGCAAATTATTAAGGCTTCTACCAAGCGAAACCCAGACAATTAATAACCTATCCAAGTATTAGAGTTTTGAACTTTCTTCAATGAAGGATAAGCAACAGAGAAATGAAGTACAAAACAAAAAATACTCACAAGTGGTTTAACTTTGTAGTCTAGCCGGAGTCCAAATGATGAATACAAAGAATTGAATAATGACGACAGATAATGTGGCTTCAACGATGGCAGACACAATGTTTCTGCTGTTCTGCATTTTTTGAATTAGTTTTGGAACCTAGCAATTCCTAAACCAGTAAATTTTAATTTTAAATTTATGCTTTTAAAATTTTTAACACTAGATGGACTGGCGTCCATCTAGTGTGCTTATTTGGATGGCTGTCCATATAATTTGGATAGTTGTCCACAGTAAAGGGATGCCCGTCTCTAGTATTTGGATGGAAGTCTATTGATTTTTAATTTATTTTTAAATATTTTTTCTGGACCGTCGTCTATTCCTGAATGAATGGCCATCCAGAAAATATGGACGACTATCCAAAAATATTGGGCGGCCACAGAATTTTTGTATCATGTCCTACATGACAACGTCTGAATCAGGTGTCATGTATATCGATACAAAATTTTGATATCAACTTTCGGTGTACATAGCATTTTTATTTTAAAATTGTTGAAAAATAGAGATAATCAGATTATTAAATATATAATTTATAATAATTACTATTTATTTTGAAAGACTATCATAATGTTATATTACCGACCAGCAAACATGATAATTTAAATAATATAGGATAAAAAAACCCAGATTATTTATCAACTCGCCACACCAACTCTCAGTTTGTCCCTATATCCACGTTTAATACCCCCAAACAATGTAGTCATAAGCCGGCTAACTTGTTCCGCATCACGAATTACCATCCCTACAATTCCATTTCTCCACAATTTATCGAAATTTTGTAAGAAATCAAAAGTATCAGCAAATTCCTCACTCACTTTCAAACATGGCGACAATCGATTCTCTCCCATTTATAGACATGTCAACCCTAACCCACTCTGAACTTCGTACTTTGTCTCTCTGTTCCACCTCCGCTTTCGACCTTCACCGCCTCGATGACCACGTTATTCCCATCATTGATCGTTCCCTCTTCAACGAAAGTGCGGGCTCCCGTAAACAAACCTTCTCGCGTCCCACTACCACCACCCACCACCACCACCATCTTCGCCACCGCATTGCCGGCCTTCTCCCCTCCTCCAAACAACCTCCCTCATCGTCTTCACTACCACCTCATCTCGACCCGGAACATTTAGAAAACCGCTCGATTCTCAACTTCCTTCGGAAATCCCTTTCCCAAAGCCCTCACTTCAACGACGTCGTGTCTTTGTTCAGCGTTTCGGGGGAAAATGATCAGGCTTTTAGGAAAAGGAAGAGGGGGAGGCAGCCGAAAACGAAGGTGAAATCGTTGGAGGAGAATTTGGAGATTGTGAATAAGAATGGAAGGGTGGTGGATATTGCTGGGTTGGGTAGTTTGGAGGATCCTTATGGGGAAGAATTGAGAAGAAGAACTGAAGGAATGACTTGGAGTGAAGAGGAATTGTTAAGTTTTATGAGGGATTTGGGTGGGCAATGGTGTAGTAGAAGGAAGAAGAGGAAGATTGTTGATGCTAATTTGCTCGGTGATATTTTGCCTGTTGGTTGGAAGCTCTTGCTTGGCCTTAGAAGGAGAGAGGGCCGTGCCTCTATTTATTGCCGCCGATATATAAGGTTATGTTTCTCATTTACTTGTTTTTTTCTTATGTTCTTTATGATTAAGTGTTTTTTGTGCCATATTGAGATTGCTATTTGTTTATGTTGTTAGTATCGCCAATACAAAATCTGTGTATTTATTTATTTATGTTACAAGTTATTCTCTTAGAACTGAATTGCAGTATGGTTTTTCCTTTTAACCTAAGGCTTTGGTAGTTCTTTTTAGAGGAAAAAAATATATATTTATAATAGAAAAACAGAGATTTATAATATGTTTACTTTAATTTACTTAAGGCAAACAGAGATACATAATGTGTTTGCTGTAATTTACACAAGGCAAACAGAGATACATAATATGTTTAGTTTAATTTACACAAGGCTTTGAAGGACCTTGATTTGTACACGTCTATCTCAATATTCATTGGTCTATAAGTTGATTTTGAAGGCAAATGAAGTTCATCTTCAATTGATCCATTGACCAAGGAAACAATTTCAAAAGAGATTTATAACCTCTGAAATTGTTCTCAACGTTTAGTTTCAACTTGAGAAATTTGGTAGTATGACATGTTGTTCTCAGTTTTTGGTTCCACGATTCCAGATTTAGTAATAATGTTAGTACCGACACGCTCAGTTCCATCTTCAATTTTTTATTATATGTTCACACATAGGGTCCTTTTCACTCTTAGGGAGTTTGGCCCTTAGGATTGGAGTCATTAAGGTTTGAAGCACATGATGAGTTAATAGTTTTGGGGAGTTTCTCAAGGCAAGGGGATATTTTGGGTGGTTGAAAGTGTAGACAAAGTAGTTTTAGGGTTGGGCTTCAACTGGAATCTCATCAAGTTGTACCAATCTATTTGGTCGTGGAGAGATGAATAAAGGGTTTGTTGTGTGGTGAAAGGTTTATCAAACTTACTGTTAGATATGGAAAGCTTCAAATCTTGTTTGTCACGATTTGGGATCATATACCATGGATCAATTATATGAACTTAAATGTCAATAAAATACCTGTAGAATAGTGAGTTAAGAACAAATGTAGCTAATTGGTGTGTTGCTTGTTGATGGTAATGATGTCTGATGATGTGCCAAATGACTGAAAAATCAAGACTGAAGTGGAGATGATGTTGGAATGATATAGAGAAGGTGCCTGGAAGTAGATCACATGTCAGGAATCTAATGGTGGTGGCAGCCTGGTGTCATGTGCTGTTGCTTAATGACAGAGAAAAGGGGCATTGATGATGAGTTTCAGCTGTGTGTGCAGGTGCTATGCAGTGTATTTTGGGATGGTGTCCTTTGGTGAAAGTGACAGATTGACAGGAGGGGAAACTAGTGGTTGCTGCAATAGTAGCACACGTGGTAACAGGAGGCTTTCTGTGGAGAGAATGGGTTGCGTTTTCTTTTTTCTTTTATGTTTTGTGGACAGTGGGGCTGAGTTGAGTTGATAATGTCTTTGGACAATCAATTTAGGGTTATGGAGCGATTTGGGACTGTATTGGGTTTAGTGTTTGTAAAAGCTTTCGGATTGATCAGAACTAGATCAGAACTTTTAACCAATTGATGGAGAACCTGATGGATGTAAACAAGGGAGAAGAAGTAAGAAAAGGAATAAATACAGAAGAATTAGAAAGGAGAGAAAATCTAGAACTACGGAAGAAACAGAGAAAACTTAGGGAGAGAACCAAAATTTACATTGCATAATCAATCATGTCTGTCTGTCAAAACTAGCTACCTAGTGTCCTACTTAGTTGGAGAACATAGGAATATAATTTGTTCCTAATAAATCAAGGCTGTCCTACATCACCTCAGGTGATTGAAACAGTGTCCTCAATGCCCTTTGGAAGTCTAACAATAGCGGTATGACATGTTTGACTGTAATTAACGTGTGAAGATGGTGTGGATTTTATGGGTCAATTAATGCACCTCAGCTTAATTTCCGTGTATGCAGACATGTTTTGGCAGACACTTTAATTTCAAATCTGGAGAGTTTACTCAACTATTTACTTTTGCAGATGATATTTTATTTGCTCTTATCCTATCCCCATGTGTTTTTGGGTAGGCCTTACCCATTTTCCTATCTTTTCAGCCCTGGTGGACAACATTTTCTATCATGCAAGGAAGTTTCTGGATATTTGCAATCCTATTTTGGACTTCATGATGCTCCTCTGTCAATGGATCATGGTGCTGACAATGTTCAGCAAGATTATAGAGTTGCATCTGGAAGTGTAAGTAAATATTTGCGAAGCAGTTTGGTCTATTTAGCCTTAATTCATTTGATTTATGTCGTTCAGCAGCATGCAGGTGCTACTCTAATGGATAATGAACAGAGGCAGTCTAACGGTCAGGAGAAGGAAGTTACTTTACTGGGTATTGACAATCTTGCAGAGGTTCAAATATGGGACCTTTTTGAATGTCATAAATGTGACATGACGTTTGATGAGAAGGATACATATTTACAGCACCTTTTGTCATTTCATCAGAGGACTACGAGGAGGTACAGACTTGGTTCTTCAGTTGGGGATGGTGTTATAATTAAAGATGGAAAGTTTGAATGCCAGTTCTGTCATAAGGTATTCCATGAAAGACGTCGATACAATGGTCACGTAGGGATTCACGTGAGGAATTATGTGAGGGGAATAGAAGATACCCCTGGTCGTTTGACTCTTCAAAAAAGAATGGAGTCTCCTGCTAGAGAGGAGTTTCCTACAAGGATCTCTAAAATGGATGCTTTGATTGAAATTGCTCAGAATTCTATTCTTGAAACGTCCACTGCTGGATCTAATGCCATACATGCTGCTTCAATTTCTGACCTTGAACTGAACTCTTACTCTGCTTTCAGTGAACCAGAAATGGATGATGGAATTATGGACAAAGAATCATATCAACGAAATAGCAAACCGAAGATTACTGATGAAAAGATGGAGGCGATTGACAATGTTGATGTTGGCAATGTTATGGATGTTAAGATACATTCTTGCATGGATTTTGCAACTGTCTTAACTACTGCTGAGCAAAATGGTTATTCCTCTGAAAATTTTAGTATGAAAGATGGTCTGTCATTCATTGCTGATGAAATTGATAAGTCTGTCACTGAGCAGGAAAGAGGCTCTGCAAGCCACTTACTTGCTGCATCTGGTGATCTGAAAGTTGAACGTGTTGAGGGCAATGAGAATTTGGGTTGCGCTAATGCAGTTGAGCATAAGGAGGTAAATGAAGTGAATAACAATAATGATATTGAGTTACAAAGTGGGTTTGGAAGCAAAAATGGGATTTCTGATTTGTCAACTTTGAAAGATAATTTAGTTCATTATGGAGTTTCCAAGTCTTCGATGTCCTTGTTGCAACCATCAGGTGGTCTTCCAACATCCAACACTATCTCAAATAAGGTATTGTGATATTGTTATTTGTATTTGTTGTTGTGGTTAATGTTGGATTAATTTGAAAAGGCTTTGTGAATATTCCAATATTTATATAAGATGATCATTACCTCTTTGCATTTACATGGTTGGATCCAGATACTATAGACTCTTGAACAAAAACTTGCAGATTTTGTGTTATCTTTGCCATTAATAACAGAAGTGATGGAATGATATTGCTGCAACATGTTAATTTAGGAAGATTCTCAGCAATGTTTTGTATAATTTTAAAATGTTGACAAGCTGTTGACTTTGTTATTTTGTCCCCTTTTTCTTCTGTTTCTCTTTCACCAATACAACAATATTACAATGGAGTAATGTTACATATTCCAAGTCTTATATCGATCTTCTCATACAGAATGATGTGCTATCCTATGTGGCAATACCACATCACTTATTACATTATCCTTTCATTTTTACTTGTTGGCTTTAAATAGGAATACACATTATTTGAGATGAGAAAACTTTTTCACTTCAGAGTAACAACAATTATTATTTTACAGTATTGGCCAAAAGACAGTAAAATTTAACAATAAAAATTCCATGAGTACAACTTCAAGACTAGTGAGAAAGCACGAGATAATCCTGGAGGAGAAGATGAGACCCAGTTGATTTTCTTCTGTGTTTTTCTTGGCTGCATGTGCAATCTACTGTCATGATTGAATCGAATCTTTTCTCTGGGAAATCAACCCCTTTTTTAAGAAACTTCTTGAAATATGTATTTAGCATTATGTCCTATTAGTGGTTTACGAATTCAGCTATTTGCTTAATTCATCTTTGATGAAATAAGGTACGCATGTTCACATTTGAGTTCAATGGTTACTTGCTATTTTTATAGAATAATTAAAAAAGTTCTGTATGTAATTGAACATCTCAGTTACTTCTGTTAAATCTTATGTTCCATATTGTCCTGATAATGGAGGTCTAGTTGCTTTCTCCACATTAACCTGATGATAATTTTTTGTGATAAAAATGATTGTTTTACTCAAATATAATTGAATTTTCTGGAAAATAATTTGATGTTTCTTATATATATTGCCAGGGGGAAGGTGGACCTTGTAGGGTTGACCAGAGACAGGACAATGTTTCAGGATTTGAGGAGTTGAGTTTGGATGAAATAGAACATCTGAAATTCAATTTAGGGACGGGGCAAGAATCTCTCTCGCTGGCAGAGGTGCCAATACAGATGGTGAGTGATGCTGGAATGGAAGGGTCATATAGTTCCTCTGTTCCATTTGAATCAGAAGTACTGTTAAATATGGCTGGCAGGCATATTACTACATGTGTATGGTGTGGAATGGAATTTAGTCATGAGGCTGTTGATTCTGAGTTACAGTCAGATTCAGTTGGTTACATGTGTCCAACCTGCAAGGCTAAAGTCTCTGGGCAGCTCAGTGTTCTGGGCAGTGGTTAGCCCATGAACTACACCGTCTTTGATTAAGGGTATTCTTTCCATTTTCAGTCATTCTTTTCATTTTTAGTCATATGTAGTCAATTTCTGATATTTTGACTTTCATAGAATATGCTGATTGGGGATGTTTCTGTTTGTTTAATATCCCCTGTATGAATTATTAAATTTGTTGTGCTGCTTTCCTGTCATATATATTAGTGATAAAATTTTGGTTCCTGATTTTTGCTCAAATATATTTGTTCTGTTACCTTAATTTTGGAGTGGTGATATTACAAGTTCAGTTCCATGGTGTTTCTGGTGACACATTAATTAATCACATGTTCTTGATTTTTAAATTTTCTGCTATGATACCAATTATATGCTAATACCAAAATGATGTTACTCGGATACTGTAACATAGAAACTTAATTAATTGGGAATGATATTTCTTATGAAGAGTTATACTTTTCTGGAAACTCTATTGAGCATGTTCTAAGTATTTGGTGTTGAATTTAACTCTATTGAGCATGTTCTAAGTATTTGGTGTTCAATTTGAAAAAAAAAAAAAAAAAAAAAAAAAAAAGAAAACGTTCGATACCAAAACATGCTCTAGTAATATGATCATTGTAGACATTAAGATATTTTGAGTTTGTTGTGCAAGATGTTGGAAGTTTTGTTTTATGAAATCGTGGTATCTTAGGATGCATGATTGTAGCCATGATTATATTGTTTGTCTTCAATATTCGTGATTTATATTATTACTTCATGCTTGCTAGATTTAGTGTTATTGTGACGGATAGTTATTCTAAATTTGCTTTAATATCAGGTGCTGGCTGGAAGATGAAGAAATTTTGCGGCAAGAAATTCTTGTGTGGTATTGGATTAGTGAGAACTCATGTAGATGATGTATGATTTGATGGATAGTTTATCTTTGTTTCATCAATTAGAAAAGATAAAAAGAAAGAACAAATAGAAAAGATGTGGTAGAAGAGCTTTCCATTGGGAAATCTTTAGATCATCGAATGATGAAGTTATGTTTAGATCATCAACTATGGTGCTGTTTTTGAGTTTTTGAAAGAACTGTTTTGAGGCTCATGTTTTGTGTGGTTACTGTGAGGACAAAAAAAAAAGTGGTTTGTCTTTATTGTTATTTTTATTAGATAGAAGAAAAAAATCTTGGCGAGTTTGTGTCTATTAACAATTCAGGGCATTTTTTTTTAACTAGTAAGATGATTAATAATCCTTGAACCTAAGAAGCTGATACATATTTCTGGTAAGTGACACAATCTTTTGTACAAAGGCAAATTGACTTCAAAGATATTTTGAAATAATGAAACATAAAATTTTTCAAATTTGAACTCAAAATCGAGCTTGAAATTTGATAACAGCAAAACAATCCAACAGCAAAACTTCGTTAAACAAACCAGTTTTCCAATTTTTTATTTTGTCTCACGTTTATTGCGTTGATTCCAATTTTTTCGATTCCGTTGTAGGCCAAGTTGAGAGGGCTCATAACTCTTATAATAATACCATATATATAAAGAACTCTTATACAAATATACATTTAAAGTAATGTGGTACAAAATAAATAGAATAGTAAATATAATGAGTTTGATTTTTTTTTTTTATTTTTTCATTCATTTTTTGATATATCACTATGTAAATCTTTATAAGATGACTTTGTATGAGTAGTTTTAAGGTAGAGCATGATAAACAACGGAACATAGACAAGATGAAGGAAAGAAATGGTTTTTTCAAATTTTCGATTCTTCCAATTTTGTCTAATTTACTACATTGATTTTGTCGCAATCTTAGAAGAGAAGCCTCAAAATTTTGAAAGACCACATCGATATATAATGGAGCATGGACAAGACGAAGGAAAAACAATTTTATTTTTTCTATTTTTTATTTCCCATAATATGTCTTTCATTTTCCGCGTTGATTCTGATTTTCCCGCATTCATTGCATGTTGAGGCAAGATGACTTGGATCTTTGAAGAACAAAATTGGTAAATGAGACGAGACAAAGGAAAAAAGTGATTTTTATGATTTCACATCTCATTTACAATACCAATTTTGGTATTTCCAATTCCATTGGACATTAAGGTAACAAGGTTAGAACTTAGAATTAGGGATAGGCCTTGGCCTTGCCCCGTTTGGGGCGGGGATTCCCCGAAAATGGATGGGGCCCAAGAAATTTCGGGGTTGGGACGGGGGTGCACCCACCCTGCCCTTGCCCTCGCCCCCGCCCCTGCCCCCACCCTTAGTTTGCAAGATATAATATTTTTTTTTTATCATGTAATATGTATTGAGATACTCTTGATCTTTATTTTGAACAAGAATACAAATGCTTGAAAATGGTGTCTCTTATTGATTGATGAACAAATTTACTTCCTCGCAAGTACACGAATCGCTATCGCAATATAATATGCAAAAGCAAGGGTCGATCCCATAGAGAGTTGAGTGTTATTAATTAATCTAATAACGTGCATAAACCAAATAAGATAATGAAATTAATAAAATAACAAAAAGTGACCATCAACCTAATAAATCTAAAATAACAATAAAAACACTAAAATTAACAATTATAACTAAAATAGTAATGAAACAATTGATAAACAAACAGGTAAATGTCTAGTGTATCCAATTTCACTGTAATTATCCTACTCTATGCCATTGATCTAACTAACATTCTCTCAATCCAAATCTTAGGGTCGATATTCACCAAATTAAGGTATTACCATAGGCTATTTGGGTTTAACAAGGTATTTTCATCATTTAAACTAGCTAGGGCGTAGCCTAGTCTAAATAGCGAAAACTCATTAAGCAAACGAGTACCCAAAGTTCACAAACCAATTTATACTTGTCAGGGCGTATGCACAGACATAAATCAATTATCCACAAGAGCTATTCGAGATTAATTAGGGGCGTATAACCTAATCCTGACTCATACAATCAACCAATCAAAAATTAAAGGCGGTCAAACAATAATAATGATCAATTGATTCAATACGCAACAATGAATGAAACTAAGATTATATTCGATCGATTAAACAAGTAATTAGATTAAAACATAGAGTAATCAAAATAGGCTACATTGGATACACTAGAGAGGGATTTAGCTACATATAATCACAAGAGAACAAACCTTAATCTTACCCATAACCATTTGGATGATAAATCCACACAAAATAAGCAAGATTTGATCCCTTCAACTCAAAAACCCCTTCTCCAAGTTAGCCCAAATGTTTACAGTGTTCTTAGTCTCTAGAATCCCTAAAAATGTGATATTTGCTGCCTTTATATAGTTTTTGCAAATAATGGTAGTTTGGTAAATACTGGCCAATCAAATTGGGGTTGGAAGTGTGCTGTTTTTACAAAATTCACGTTTTGCGCCATGGTGTGGTTCTTTGGTGCTGCACGCTCTTCTAGGCAATTTACGCTTTGACAAAAACCCAATCTATGCAGCGGTGTAGGATGAACTGCATTGCGGTGCAATATGGATTTCGCCGATTTATGCCACGACATGATAGATCTACACCACAACACAGCTCTGATTGTGCTAATTTACGCTGCAACATCATCAATCTTCGTTGCAGCACAACTTGGATTGTGCCAATTTACGCCGCTGCATAGGAAACCATGCCACAACGCAAGCTTGAAATTCTACTTTTCTTCTTCTTGCCTTGATTTATCTGCAGTCCAATGGGTCTAGGATGCTCGAACATCAGCGCACACGTACGAATAACCCATTTTTTCACCTGAATTCTTGAAAACACACAAAAACCCGTGATTTTGGAAGATAACAAAACATGCGAGGAATCTTATTATAAATAATGCATTAAACCGTAAATTCCCCACAATCTCATCCCCAAATCACTAAATATATATGCATTTCCAACACTCGTTATTGACTACAAAATAAAATACAATTATGGAACATATACTATATATAAGGCCCGCATGTTATATTAGTAATTGATTTATTTTAATTTATTGATCTTCTTCAAAAGGTTATTATTAATTTATTAATTATTAGACTACATAGATCTTAACTTTTGGATTATATTTAATTTAAGCATGTTCTCTATTATTATTTATTACTCATTTGTATATGGTTTCACTTAACTTAATGTTTCCACAATTATAATCACATTTGAGGTTAAGAAGGACCTTATTATTTTGATAATTGATTCAATAATATTATCAGATCAATTAATATTGTGAAAATAATAATTTTTAAAGTGGTAATTGAAAGAGTTTGAGTAAGCAAAAGAGGTAGTGAGAAGATACAGAGACTGCCAAAGTATGCTAGAGAAGAAGAAGATTGAGAAGAAGAGTATACTATATTATATATTATGTTTTGTATACTTGTACACTGTCTAATTTACACAAAAAATAATAAGCAATAAATAGAAATACAATCTCTTGTCATGATACTGTAATCACATGAAATCGGGAAAATAACGGAAACAAAATATTTGATATTAAAACAAAATATCAATATTCTTTAATTCATCACTCCCCCTCAAGCTTGTGAAGTAAATATGAATGTTGTCTACTGCCTAACAGTTTTGCGAAAATATCCACTGGTTGTTTCGAAGTTTGAATGTGCATAATCTTAATTATCCTTTATTGAACTTTTTCACTGATGAAGTGGCTGTCAATCTATGTGCTTTGTTCTTTCATGAAACACTAGATTTTCTGCAATGTCATTTGTGGCTTTGTCATCACAGTATAAATGAATAGGCTTTCTTACTTGTACCTCCAAATCTCTTAGTAGCCCAAGAATCCAAGTGATCTTTCGTGTAGTTTTCACTGGATACTATTCACGGTTGCTTCGCTATCTATCCAACGTAGGATCGAGTCCAACAATATCCACACGAAAGTAGGCTTGGGTTCACCCTAGGATTGATTGCTAGATCAATTAGAGGGCTTAAGTGATGGTGGCGGAAATTTAGAGAGAGAACTCTCTTGTTGGCTAGGTTTTTGGGCATGTATTTTGGGAGATAGAGAGAAAGAAAACAGTTTAATTTAATTCAACTATTTTCCCAAAAGTATTCTCTTACTTAAACTAAAACTCTCCTCCTTTTATAGTGTAATTCCAAATAGGAATTCAATAAGGATTACAATCCTTGAATCCCTATTTTGGAAGGATTCCACTAATCCAAAAAGGAAAAGATAATATCTCTTAGAGGTATTATCCTATTTAAATATCAAATACATTAAATCCATAAATATATATAAACTAATTAACCAAATATGTTTATTTAATCCATATGTGTGGGTGTGTGTGTGTGTATATATATATATATATTATTTAGGTTTTAATATATATTTAATTAAATTAAATATATATCTCCATATTAATTAAAATTAGTATGAATCCAATTTTGCTAAAAACTCTTCCAATAAATTGGATAATGGCGTCAATCCCTTTGCAAAATTACCAAAGTGCCCTTTTTGCTCGTAATGATGAAAATGCCACTAGACTCACAAATTATTGAAATACCCTTTTCGGCCCAAGGACAAGATTGCCCTTCCATTTCCATTTCTTACTTAACTACTTTCTATGTGTGTGACGCGAAGGCTCTTCACTTTGCCGATAGTGCCCCAATAACTAATTAAGCATCAAGCAATTAGTTTTTTCGTACACCAATCAAGATTGGCCTCTGGCAAGGCATCACGATTCCTCGGTAAGTAAAGAATCATCGATTTAGGCTTACCTTGTCTACGACATGGTTACCGAACAATTCGGTCTGTTTCATCATCTTTTATCTCATTAAGGTTTGAGGTATAGAAATAGTGTCCACTTCAAAAACTACCTTGGCATGTTCTATATTTGGTTCTCGAATCTGATGACTGTAAAATTGGATTCGAGCACTAACTTGATTCCACCATGGCCACGTGATTTAAGGTCGTAGTTCTTTAACCAAATATCTTGCCGAGATAAGATCTCCTATAACCAGGAGTGATGAATCTTTTGTTGATCCACCATAGCCATAGTGTACTTCTCGATGGAACCAATCACCACCGTTTTGTAATCCTTGAAAGAGATGACATTAGGCTTGTGTCAAATCACATCGATATTTGCACATGGCGCTCTGATGATCTCAAGTCGAAGGACCACATGCACCACTATCCATAAGTTGATATATTCCACAGATACTGGGTTTACCATCTCATGTGGAATCCTCTAATGGGTTAGTCCAGTGTACGCACAAGTAAGCGCCCATGCGTCGCACTAGGTTGATGCCCACAACCTTGACATGTGAGATCTGTCACTGCCTTTCGATAGGGTTGTTCAACGCGATGATAGTCTTTTGGTATTATCTGTGTCCTTGTTCAGATTTATAATATGACTACGGATGTTTAAGAAGGGCCACATTTGTGCTCATAGGGTTCTCACAATTAAGATTTATAATACTTAATTCCCTCGTCATTGGTACCAACCTTTTTATGGACATATACTATTTTCTTTACACACAATAAATAGATGCTACAGTATATGCTTATAAATAAGTGATGCCCTTTTATTCATTTATTTGAAATGAGTTCACAAGAGCTAAATCGTTGACTCTAGTGCACCTACTTTAACAATTTCTTCCTCACTGATAATGATGCTCACTAGATGAGCTAGAATCTTCATTTGCGATTTCAAGCTCCCGACTCAAAGTTCTCACAGCAATGCCTTGCTCGCTTGAAGGCTGGTTTTCTTGTTGCACACCCTTCAATTCTATCACATCTTGTTGAAGGGTTTGGATTGCATTAGTGATTGACAATTTTAATTCATCGCAAGTATACGAATCGATATCATAGTATAACCTACACATGCAAGGGTCGATCCCATAGAGATTTATAAGCACTCAATTAATCATAATATCCTATGACTTAATTACATGAATAGATTCAAGTAAAATTGAAGAACTAATAAATAAAAATAAGCGAACACTAAATAAACTATCAGAAAACCAATATTAAACCGGATTAAAAACCAATGAACTAAAACCTAGGTATCCAATTTCACCATAATTATCCAACTTTATGTCAATAACCACACTATTGTTACCTCAATTCACTTTCTAGGGTTTGCACTCCCACTATTAAGATATTACTATATGACGTTCAGGATTAACCTAGTGTTTTTAACACTAAAGTAGCTAGGGCGTATAGTCTAGTCTAATAATTAAAAACCCATTAAGATCAGGAGCACTTAATATCAAGAAGCAATTTGCATTTGACAAGGCGTATGTAGACACACGAACCATTCATTCAAAAGAGCTATTCGAGATTAGCTAGGGCATATTGTCTAACTTTGTCTCATGCAATTAATTAATTAACATTAAAGGTGATCAAGTAATAAGATCAATTAAAAACTGAATTAATCACAATGAATGAATCAAGAATAACATTGAATTGATAAACACATAGAATTGATTATGACATAAAGCCTTCAAATTAGGTTACATTGGATCCCTAGTAAAGAGTTTAGTTACACATGATCATAAGGAAAGCAAACCTCAAAACCTTCCAAAGCATGAAGAGCAAAAGAAGATGATGATGAAAAACCCTAGGTAGATCGATCTCCTCCCCTTCCTTGTATTAATTCTCTCTTAGTTAAAGTCTCTCCCTTAAAATTACCTAAAGACATCCTTTTATAGTGCTAGGGTTGTGGGAAAGTAATGGGAAAAATCCTATACAAAATAGGAGAATAAAATTCAGTTCTAGGTGAAATAGAATAATATAATCCTAATGAAATTAGGATTCCTTCACATGAACCGCACAAAGATATCCAAAAGAGAACATGATAGCTTCTAAATCTGGAACATTTGTGAAAATATTGATTGTAGGTCTTCGATTAAAATTTCCAACGCTTCAAGAATCATCTAAATCTTAGGTCTACAACTCAAGTTATTGTAGAAACACCGAAACATGTTCCAAAACCCTGGTCTGCTTATCTTCCTTGCACTGATGTAACTTTCGAATATATTATCAACCATATTAAGGGTCGAACTGGATCACAACCAAAACATGAAAGTTGTAGACTGGTATTGTGGCATTCAAATGCCACCAGAAGCAAATCAATCAAAGTTGTGTAGCTCAAGTTACGCCCATTTTTGTGGAGCATGTTCACTCACGCCACGACACAAAAATCCTCCACCATGACATAAAGTTTCTGTCCAATTCTTGCCATTATCCATCCTTCTTCTGCCACAGCACAACAAATTTGTGCCGCGGCAGTCATTTTGTGAACAATCTTCAAAAAATTATAACTTCTCCGTTTGAGCTCCAATTCTCGAACTATTTGTTCTTACATGATTCTGATTCTTTACTCTTCAACGTACATGCTCAAAATCCTTATTTTCAACACTGAAATACCTAAAATTTCACAAAACATACCCATGATTCTAGAAAACAAAAGAGATACATAAATTAAGTAAATTTAACCAATTAAACCTAATTCCCACACAAAATACCCTTAAAATCACTAAGTATGAGTGCACTTCTAGGCACTCATCAATTGGTTAGCGACCTTAGCATGTCCATCATTTGTGCATTATCTGGATTAGAAATTTCAACCTCTTGTGGGTTTGTCAGTTGAAGAGGTGGAACCACCAATGGTCGAGTTTGCAAGATTGCCTGATTGACCTATTGATGGTTAGCTTCAACGTCGTCATTACAGTTAACACCGGTGTGGGTTTTGGAAGATCTGGTATGCACCATGGCTATTATGTATGATTAATGAGTTAAGATTGACAAGTGGAAGGCCATTTTTCTAGCGCCAAAATGTTGTTACGAAATCTTGCAACAACTAGACATACTTGATTGACCTTGACAAAACTAGGTAAGATGGCCATGTGGTTATGAATAATCAACAAAATGAAAATAAAACTAATGAAATTAAATGCAAAAGGAACTTTTAAAGTGGTTTGGTGAGCTAAACTTCAAGCCTACGTCCTCTGATTTCTTATTAATGTGTTTGATTACAAGAATAAGCTCCCTCTCTAAAATTGCTAACTGCTGAGTTGATAATAGTTACAAGAGTGATTCCCGGGATAATGGCTTAATTTTAGGTAGTTAATCCTATGATCTTTGGTGTATTTATCATGCTAAGATTGTAGGGAGTCAATCTCATGACATTCTCTTTGATTTTAGGGGATAACGCCTATCTAAGGAGATCATAGAGTTCATTTGCAGTTTGGAGGATAACTGCTAGGTAGCTCACTTTACGGCTTATCGCCATCTCACAAATTACTCTGAGCTACAACTCGTTCCAAGCTATTGCTTGCTCTGAGTTGTCTGCACATTCTCGTACAACAATCTCATAAACACAATTCATTTTTTTTATGCTATTCAAATTATTTTTTAGAACGAAAAAATAGTTTAATGGAAGAAAAAGATTTGGGTTAATGGAGGAACAAGATTTGCAATAAGATATATCAGGTTAGAAGCAATATAAAATTGTTAAGTTTTTAATTGTTTTACATATAAATTTATTGTTATTTGTTTCTTCAAAATATGGGTAGCTATTTAGCCTATATATTTTTTGTTGTTATCTGTATTATGTTGTTAGGATTATTTGTAAGGATTTTTAGGAAAATGTGGTGGAGGTTATAGCATAATAAGTGAACGGAATAGAATGTTAACTCTTTTAAAATATTAAAAAAAAAAATTTAAAAACTTTGAAACAGGGTAACTTAAGAAGAGGTTCTTTAGTTCATAGTTGGTGCCAGTAGCTCAACTCTTTCTTTATTGTGGATTTTATCACATGTGGGTGTGAGCTTGGCCATTTTATGAACTTTTTGGTTTGTTTTTTTTTTTTTTTTTTTTTAAGTGGAACTATGGACCCCCACTGTTAAATTAATAAGCCTGCTTCTTAATATATCTCATTGAATTGTTGTAAAAATGTTTATTTTCTTATAATACCTTAAAATTTTCACAAATACCTTTCACTTAATAATAATCTTCACTCTTTTTTTTTTTTTTTTTTTTTTATTTCTTACTACCATGCTGCACAAACTAGTATATATATATATATATATATATAATTAAAACTAAAAAAGAAAACAATCTCATCAACCGAATCCATAAAGTCGCCCTATAAGCATCAAACATGTTTTTTTGGAAGATTACCAATAACTTCATTATTGATTTAAATGGGAATTTAAAGATACAATTTCTTTTGTAACCTTTATTCTAGACATGATTTGTACGTTCAGAGAGTTGAAGTACATCCAACCATACATCTTGTTTATTGAACAACAACGAACAATTTATGTCATGTTGTACTCTTGAAAATTTATCCAGCATGTACGTCAGAGTCTAAATGTTCTTTTAGAAACATTAAATATTTCCGAAGATGAAAGTTGAACCCTCTGTGTAAATCCATGAAAGAAATAAATACCATAATTTTTAAGGAAATAATGAATAAAAAATAAATGAAAATGTAATGAACTACAACATATATTAAATCCATGATATTTGATAGAGAGTTTTGTTGAAAGAAAAAAATTTGGCTTGTGCAACTTGTTCTTATTCTATTATAAGATGGGAAAAGCAAGTCTTTAATGTACTCTACATGTTCAAACCTTATGAAAGAAAGCTCACCTGTGTTATTCTGTTGTTAAAAAATTTCTTGAAGAAGTTAGAGCTAATAAGACATCGACTACTATTAACTTCATCAATGGTCTCTTGAATCAGGTCAAGTAAATCTCCATATGTTAATCCTGGATATTTCTTGACTATATCTATCAATATGAAAGTCAAGACACCATTCATTGTCTTTCTTGTGAATGCCTGCATATATTTGTTAATACATAAGTTAGCTGAGAAATGTTGAATGTTGTACATTTATGAAAATGATATGCACTTTAAATGCTCAAAAGGGGTAAAAGGCTATGACAAAATATGTTTGATATTATAATTATTAGGTTAATTAATTAATTTTGTAAGATATAATAACATTAATCACCCCGAGGTACGATAATATGACAAAAAAACCCCTGATGTTTATAAAATAATGAAAATTCCCCTTTCATTAAGTTTTAGGTGTTAAACTAAATGGTTAAGGGCAAATTGGTAAATATTTATTAAATCATAATAGTATAAATTCTAACAGCTCACTAACATTCCCTGATTGTAGAGAAATTTTTTTTATTTTAGAAACTTCAAGGGAATTTTTGTTAGTACCTCAACCTCAGGGAGTCTACATTTTAACTAATTTTGTTATTAAAAAAATAAATGTTATGTTTCGATTTCAATGCTAAAATTAATAACATCACTTACAGAAGTGTCGGAAGCCACTTGATCATCTTCACAAGCACTGAGACTAATTGCTAAGCCACCATTTGTGGCTTTGTTAACACCAGATGGAGGTATATTTTCTTCCCATTTTCTCCTGAATATTTTTAACCAAGAATTTCAGAGTGCATAAAAAGTATGAAAAATGACAAGAATGAGTATCATTAAGTGGATGAAAAACTTACGTCTTTCTATTGTAAATATATACCAAATCGAGAATTGTGCCACTATGACAAGCATCAACAATGGCATGAAGCGTAACACCTTGAATGAGAGGCTTAACAATGGTGGTATTGATATAATTATCAAGAATCATCCCTTCTTTCATAAAATCAACAGGACAAATTGTCTCATCAAACCCATCAATTTCATCACCATTAAAATCAGGTTGTCGTAAGCCATGGCCTGAGAAGTAGAATACAAGTGATTCACCTTTTTCGCAATCCTTCACAAGCCATTTCAAGGCCTTCTCGATGTTCTTCTTCGTTGGATGGTGTTCTTCTTCTTCATCTTCTGCAAACAAAATATATAAATACATTGATCCGGATTAGGATCTTTAATTTCAAACCATGGAATTATAAATCTCCAGGCCTTTTCTAACGAAGTTTACATTAAATTTCAACTATTTGATTGAAATATGGAATGGGGAATTTTTTTTTTTTTTTTAATGATTGTATACCTAGATTGTTCTTATTATTTTTAATTTTGTCATACTTAATCATTTTAGAAGAGGATAAAATTGTAGTTAGGCAAAAAAATTGATCATAATGAATCTAATTAGAAAAAGAAATATTTACATATATAGCTATCTTTACTAATTTTAATTCCCAAAATGTTAAGGATTTGTTTAAAAGATAGATTTAGTCATCAAATCACATGAATTGATCTAATTGCCCTTAGTAAAAAAAACAAAAACAAAAATAGATGAAATGTGTTAAACAACTAAATCTACGTTAATATTATGAATATATTAGTTTTTTTTTTTTTTTTTCCATTATGAGTATAATTGAGAAGCCATTAGGTTTTACGACCAGATTTGTTTTTTAAATAAAACTTGTACATTTTGATAAATTATAATTATCAAGTTAGCTATATATGTGTAAACCCAAGCTGATAATAGAATAAGTCTTCAACAAAAAAAAAAAAAAAAAAATTGACTTTAGTAATAGTAACAATGATAAAATTACTAATTTAACTCTGGTTAATACTAACTTTAGAACTTGAATTCTTTCTTCATTAAGTTTTTTTTAATGAAAATAATGGTCTTACATTAATAATAACTCTAAACTTTTAATGAATAATATAAGAAACTATGGGCCTAAACCTGAATGGTAAATTTGTACTTTTCCCATAATTATGACATGGTATAATAGTTTCGAAACGTGTATTACGCAAGCCAGGCTGCATCGTTAATGCTTTATTACTTTTATTTTCTAGGGCTAGCTTAAGTTTAAGACCAACTAACATTTGGCATTGGTTGGGGAAGCGATAGAGTTCCACTAACTTATTTTTGCCATCCACTGGGCCATTTAATTTTCCAAGAATATTAGACTAATATTATCATAAATGTAAAGATCAAAAGTCATTAAGGAGAAATAAGTATATCCAAAATATAAAAGCTTAAAATTAAATAAAAGGAATTTTACCTGTGAGTACAAGAATGCCCTCGGACTGATATCCGAACTTGGTGATCAACAGATCCCTCATGTTCTTCACATCATTGATAGTTCCTTTAAGCTTGTACTTAGTTTCCTTGTAGCTGACTCCGCAAAGCACAGCACGCTTCTTTGGTCGAGTCGGGGGCGACCTCTGAAGAGGAGACGGCTTACTATTCAGAGACGTCCTTTTAGGGCTAGTTTCAGTTCTTTTTCTCATGAAGTTCATATATTGTAAACTTTTCGTTGGACAGAAGCCTTTGACTTGACCATACGCTTCATTTGCTGTACTTGAATTATCGAAAATGTTTGATCTTTCTACTTTTATTTCAAGGTTACAACCTGGGCAAACAACTAGTCTTTCATTTGAATTACGTGGTGAGACTCGTTGCCTGCAGTAATAGCACTGAATTGGTCGACTCGTTTCCATTAAAGCATGTTGCATGTAATGGTTGAGCAATCTTCAGATTTAATTGACAAGCATATATACTTGGCGTTGGCGGAAAGGCAAATTGAACTTTCATGATATATGAACATATGGAAGAGCTTTAAGCTTATTCTTTACACACCTCTGTAGCTTTTGTTTTTTTTTTTTTTTCGGTAGAAGGTTGTATCATAAAGCTTTGTAAGACTTCGTGTGTGTGTGTATATATATATATATATATAAATACACACACACAAGAAGTCTTATAAAGCTTTATATAAGTTTAATTAACTAAAACATATTTTAAAAGCATATTATTATTTTTATACCAGTTGCTCTAGCTAATTCAAAAGTGCTTTCAAACGGTCACAAATATTACGGCTAGTGTTTGGGTTAAAATATACTAAGTTAAACGTACATTGACTGTTTTCTGTTATTCTTTTTAATAGAGTGCTTGACAAGTGTTTCTTTAAAAACTTTTTTGTAATAAGAGAATACTTTTATAAATATATGTTTAATTATTTCATACAAGTTATTGCTTTTATTAAAATATACTCTTTATTCATCTTTTCTTAATACAACTATAGAAGTATTCCAAATCTTATCCCTAAAGACTTAAGTCAATGATGATTACTCCTTTGATTATATTCCTTTAGTTCTAGTAATTTCTTCACTATGAACTTATGATATATTTTTTTTTTTTTTTTTTTGTTTCGGCTGAATGAGCAATCTAGAAAGCCTTATAAGTGCGAACTTTATTGTCCAATAAATTATAAAGGTTTTATTCTCTTTTGATAATTTCTTAATTGTTATGGTTTTGTTCTGTTTCATCTCTTTATTCCACAACAATGTAAAGTGGACGAACCTGATGCCAACTATCAATTGAGTGGCGTAAAAGGCTCTTTTGCTTTAATTTAGATAAGTTCAAGCGTGCGCCTACGTCTTATATTAACAAACACATTAATATACAAGAGAACACGAAGAATTGAACTTTTAATTAAAGGATAGAATCATTTATTGGTTTAAACTTTTATCTAAATAAATAATTGTTTGTGATTGGTGGTTATAGACAAATAATTCTAAATTACAAACAAATGAAAATACGAAAACGTGGTGAGATCCTTAAAAGCTCGTATGAGAAGAAGATATTATTTTAAAACCAATCTAAGTTAGAGATTTTGTAGTATATGTAAACGTTTATATAAAAACATAATCATATTGTTGGTGTTAGAGATAAATAAAAGAAACATAATACGTTACGTTTGAATCTTGATGTTTCCAACGACTTGCACGTGTAAAGCGCTAAGGTGACTTAGAAATTACACGTGAAATGGAAATGAAAGGAAATAAAGCAAAAGATGAGATTATATATGTTTGCAGAAACATAAATAAAAGAATGGCAATGACGATTTTTATAGTGGTTCGGATACTCAAACACGAATCCTACATCCACTATTATTTCATTATTCTCTAGCTATTTCTATGATATTGCCGATAAGACGTACAAAGAATAGAGAAATGCTTGGTTTACAGAGAAAGATAATAAAACTCAAATCTATGCATAGCTCTCATATGTGCTACCCCTCTTTCATGAAGAGAGGTGCTCATTTATACACATTTGAGGTCAATGTAATGAGTGTTTTGCAAGTTGCCTTGACACATGGAGAACTCTCATCTATCCATCTCTTAAAATGAGATAAGATTGGTATGAATATCTTTGAGGCGGTATGGGCTTAGTAGCTAGTACACTTTATCTTTTAGGCACTTGTTGAGCTGACATCAACGTGACTTTTTAGGCATAACAGAAGCCCTTCAGTTTTTGGAGTGCATAATCGCACTTCAAAAACTTAGGTCCTTGATCTGAATGGTTGTCGCACAATAGGCTGCAGTCTCAAACTAAAGAGCTCGAACTATAGCTAGCACGATCGGGTGCTGAGAGCTAGGACCGTGATTTGAGTGCTTGGAGCGATCTGAAGCTGAGCGCAATTTGATAACTGACATGAAATGTCCAGTAGATGAATTCTTGGAGAGAGCTGACTTTGGTAGCCAAATTAAACACATGGCTTAAAGGCCTTAAACGGACAAACAAACTTAAAACAGCCATAACTTTTGATCCGGGAAGAGTTTTGGAGCCCATAAGATATCTACAAAAAGCTTATTCCGAGCTTTACGTCGTGGCAATAGGAGAACCAGGTTGGGGCCATTTTCGAGGCCAAAATCATCCATTTTGGCATGTTTTGAGGCTGTTTGGAGTTTTCTACGCGTTTTTTCTAACGTTGGCAACTGGTTGCGATCTAAGAATTGAGAACTGATCGCGATCTGAAAGCTGAGAACACGACTTGAGGCTGTTTGCAATATCAAAGCTAAGAGCTAATCACGATTTGAGAGCTAGGAGCTGATCAGGATCTGAGAGGAGCTCGATCAAAGATCATAAGGACCTCGATCAGAAAGCATAAGAAATTCGATCAGAAAGCACGAAGCTTGATATGAGAACAGAAGGAGTTCAATCAAAAAACGTGAAGCTTGATCTGAGAACAGAAGGAGTTCGATCAGAAAGCGCGAAGCTTGATCCAAGAACTTAAGATCAGCGATCTAAGCGCTCGGAAGCACGATCTGGCTACTCAAAAGAGCGATCTAAATTACCTAAATGTGTGATTTCAACGATTTTGAACACACGATCTGGATGATATAAGCGTGCGATCTGCGATCTGGGCGATCTGAGCGCATGATCTCAACGATCTTGAACGCGTGATCTGAGCATGTGATCTATGATCTAGCCACACAATCTAAGAGCTCTGATGCATGCGATCTGCGATCTGACCACGCCATCTAAGAGCTCTGATGCATGCGATCTGTGATCTGACCATGCCATCTAAGAGCCCAAGATCTGCGATCTGCGAGCTAGCCATGCGATTTGAGAGCCAAAGATCAGCGATCTAAGCGTGCGATCTACGATCTGACCACGCCATTTGAGAACTTTGATGCATGCGATCTACGATCTGGCCACGCGATCTGAGAACTCTTATGCGATTTGAGCGCGTGATCTCAACGATCTGGAACGCGTGATCTAAGCATGCGATCTGACCATGCTATCTGAGAACTATGATGCGTGCGATTTGTGATCTGGCCATGCGATCCGAGAATTCTAATGCGTGCGATCTGCGATTTAACCATGCGATCTGAGAACTCTAATGCGTGCGATCTACGATGTGACCACGCGATTCAAGAACTATGATGCGTGCGATCTGCGATCTGGCCACACGATCTAAGAACTCTGACGCATGCGATCTACGATCTGGCCACACGATCCAAGAACTCTGATGTGTGCGATCTGCAATTTGGCCAAGTGATCCGAGAACTTTGATGCATGCGATCTGTGATCTGATCACGCGATCTGAGCACTCTAATGCGTGTGATCTGCGATTTGGCCACGCAATATAGGAACTTGGACGTAGGTTTGAGACCTACATGGGCCACCAAACTATTGATGCTTGATTTTGACACCAACGACTCGCACGTGTAAAACGCTAAGGTGACTTAGGAATTACACATGAAATGGAAATGAAAGGAAATAAAGCAGAAGATGAGATTATATATGTTTGTAGAAACATAAAAAAAAGAATGGCAAGGACGATTTTTATAGTGGTTCGAATGCTCAAAAGCTAATTCTACGTCCACTGTTATTTCATTATTCTCTGACTATTTCTATCATATTGTCGGTAAGACGTACAAAGAATGGAGATATGCTTGGTTTACAGAGAAAGATAATAAAACTCAAATGTATGTCTAGCTCTCATATGCCCAACCCCTTCTTTCATGAAGAGAGGTGTCAATTTATACACATTTGAGGTCAATGTAATGAGTGTTTTGCAAGTTTCCTTGACACATGGAGAGCTGTCATCCGTCAATCTCTTATAATGAAATAGTGTTGGAATGAATTTCTTTGAGGTGTTATGGGCTTTTCAGCTAGTACATTTTGTCTTTTAGACATTTGTTGAGCTTACATCAGTGTGACTTTTTAGGCATAAGATGTTACATAACATACATTTATTAAACAACTATACATATGAAGTGCTGCATACGTTTATACCCAAATTTAGAGTCAATAAGAGTCCGTCACAAATAACTGCATAACCAAATTTACAATTTTCTCAAATGCTTTCTAGCTATCAATGCGTGCAATTGTGATTAGTCTAACTAGGAATCCAAATCTTCCCATATGTCAACTAACAAGCAAGGGATAAAGAAAGAATAGAATTATTTCATTTACGAAACATATCAAGCTGGAATCTTTTCATTTCTTCTGAATAGAGTTATTTGTTTTCATTAATTGAGCGGCGCATGTTGATGATATACTAGAAATGACACTCGTCCAAGTTTTTCAAAGCAATAAAGTCTTCACCGGGCCGCGGGCCATTTTTTGTGCGATTATTACTTGTGTAAAGGTAAGATCTTAAATTTTAGGATTTGATGTTTTTATACTAACAAGGAATTTATCATCAACCCCCGATTTGATTAAACTTTAGGATGGCGAAATACAAATGATCCGAGGAACATCACGAGTTAAATTAAGGGTAGAGAATGAGACAATAAGTTTAGGCCTTACCTTATATTGGGACAGAACCAAAACCAAGTGTGCATTTGGGATTGTTGTAGCTTAAGAAATAATCAAGTTTTAAGCTACAATAATAAAAATATTTGATAAACAACTTTTAAAACTGATTAGATTTGAAGCTGATTATATAATAATCACATTTATAAAAGGATTCCAAAAGCTACCTATATAGTTTTTAAAAATAAGAGTATTTCTAAGGATGATTTTATACATGTACAATATTAAAACTACCCTTATATAATAATAGAAAATGTTATTCGAATTTTATATTGATAATTAAAACTACTATTAATTAAAGATTCATTTTATAAAATTCAAAATTAAGAAGGAACAATGATGGAATACCACAACAGTTGCTGGACCACAATCAACGGTACTAACATGTGTTTCACAAGTAACGGATGTCGAACCCTAGGAAATTACTAACTACCAATTACCAAAATTGACTATCTTGTTGCTATTTGATTAACCAAATTTTTATGAAGAAAAACCTAAACTAAACTAATCAATCGAAAACGGTTTAAAATTAAAAGAGAGATAGACTTTGAACAAAACCCTTGATTTTTAATGCAAGATTACTAAACCTAGGGCATAGACTTGGCACCAACTCTACTTATATGTATTGATAATTTATGCTAACCTTATTAAGCCTTTTTTACATGTTAAACTCCCTAGAATTCCAATAACTTTCTCTCAAATAATTACCAAATTAACTCCTAATTACTAACCTGAGATATCCCTAAATCAAATTTAAGTATTAAAAGATTATTACGCTCTATAGAGTTTACCAAAATCTCACAAGTCGCAGTAACCTATCTCTAGTGTTCGCTTAACCTATGGTTTTATTACCCGAAACCAACTAAGTATCATCTCTCGATCTCAACCTAGTCCATTAATTTATTTAATTCTTGGGCCCTTAAGAATTAAAAGCTATAAGTAAATGATCAAATTTGCGTAGCAGAAAAACAAAATAATTTAAAAAAATGAATAGATCATTACTCTAAACCCAAAATTTGGGCAACAATTATAACGTCTTACATGTTAAAACTAAATCTTTGTAAAAACTAAATCCATACAAGGATTCATTATATGTTATCAACGTTTGGAGGCTCCTTAATATCTCTGATTTGATCTCGCTTCAAGAATCCAAGAAGAGAAAAAGAATTTTCTCTCCACCAATGTCAAAAACGTGAGAGGGAAAGAAGATGGTGGCTAGGGTTTTTGATATAATGAATAATGTTCAATGTTTTTAATTTTAAATTGCACTTATATAGTGCACCAATTAAAAACCCTGTTCCACTTAGAAATACCATGGACTCCAATCATAATCCACCCTTGTAACCAAACACTCCTTTAATGGTATTTTAAATTTAATTAATTATTATTATTAAAATCAATTAATATATTAAACAATATGTTAACATTTAATTAACAATAATAATCCATTTAAATATATGCGCCCATGCATTTAAATATAATCTCACTAATTTTAATTTCAATATTAAAATTGAATACATGCAACAACCTCAACAAATTTAATTGCATTATGATATTACCAAAATAACCTTTTGTCTTAAAAGACGAAAAAACCCCTTTTACAGACTGATTCTTAAATTATCTTCTAAGTGTGTGACTCGTAGGCTCCTTATCATATTGATAGTGAGTAGTATCACAATTAACACCAATTAATCGTCTTACTACACACAGACCAAAATTGGCCCATAGCAAGGCATCATGGCCACCCAATAGATTTAGATTCAGCAAAATAGCTACCTATCAACGATATGGTTGCCATGCAGTAAAATCCTTTCATCATTCGTTATCCCATCAAGGATGAGGTACAAAAATAATGTCAACCTTAGATATCCTCGATATCTTTGTATTTAGTTATTGGACCAATGACCTGAACAATAAATTGGATTGAGCAATAACTCAATCCCACTATGGCTACAGATTTAGTGTCATTGCCATTTTACTGAATTGCGTAGTGAGATAACTTCTCCCATACCCGGGAGTGATGAATCCTTTGTCAATCCACTACTGTCTTGATACACTCTTCGATGCAGCCAATCATTACTATATTGATAGCTCTGAATAGAATTACATTGGGTTAGTGCCAAACTACACCAATCAATGCACAAGGCGCTCTGATAATCTCAAGTCTAAGGATCACATGCACCGCCATTCGTTAGAGGATTTATTCTATAGACACTGGGGTTACCATCCATATAGAATCCTCTAGTGAGTCTGTCCAGTGAACTTGCCTACAATGAACACCCATGTGTTGCACCCATGGTGCAGACAAGGCTAATTTTCGGTGTGAGAATCGGTTAGGTTCTGGCCTGAGAGGCTGCGGCGGCACTTGGGGGCGGAAACCAGGAAGATGAAGGGTGGTACTTTAAGGGTAGTTTGGTAATTGCAATCTGTACGCCTGTGTTAGAATTCAACAGTGGCTAATGGTGTTACTTTGAGGGTATCAATCTGGAATAAATAAAATCAGATACCACTTGCCACTTCGCTGAACCCCGGGTGGGAACGGGTCACTTACTCAATTCAAAATAAAATAATATAAAATATGGAAAAAACATTACTGCGATCAAATTTGATCAAATTTAAAACGTTAATATAGCACCACCCAATTAAAAGAGAAAAAACAAATTAAATTTTTTAAAAAATAAAAAATTTAGTGGGGTCAGCCGTCCTCACTCATTTTTATGTCGGTTCGTCTGATAATGTGACGCTATTGTGTTTTGTGTTAATATTGTCTATTTTTATTTGAACAATTTATTTTGATTTCATCTTTATACAAAAGCAAACCAGTTCTTCGTAACAATAGTGATAAGTTAATATTGGATAAGTACACCCATGATGAAGGGGCATGAGAAATTCAAACTGTCAAAGGCAGTATAAAAAGAAAGTTTTTTCTTTCAGTAAGGGTTACTCACCAATACGCAAAGAAAAACATGTTCTCTCTCTCTAAAATTAAAAAAGAAAAATACTCTATGCAGTTTATTCTTCCAGATTCAATTTTTGATTCAGAGATAAGGAGAAGAGGTATTTATGCTGTGTAAATTTATTGTAGTTCATTTATATACAAAATCTGATTGCAATGGGTGACTATGATTTTGAGATTAGTTTAGGATATATATTATTCTATGTTTTTCCAACATTGGTATCAAGGCTTTTGGTTTATATTGTTTTAAATTCGTACTGTTAAAGCATGTTGCTTGTTGATTAATGCAGTTCTGAATTTTGAATTTTTGTGCATAAAAAGTTGTTTTTTTTTTTTTTTTTGGTTATAATAATTACACTATTAGATTCCTTATGAAATTACGAAGAAAATGGTTTTTGAATCATAAAAAATGGAGTTAAAATGACTTAGATATGTCTCTTTAAAGTTTCGGCTCTTTGTACGCGTTAATTTGCGGGTCGGGTACCGAGTTGCAAACTCGGATGGAGGTTGAAGATGACTAACGACTGACATGTCGTTTTAACTCCAGATTTATATATGACATGTCGTTTTTACTCCAGATTTATATATGACATGTCGTTTTTCTGTTTTATTTTTTTTAAAAATAAAATACAAATAAGCGTGATTGGTGAGATTTGAACCTAAGTCTCCAAGCTTAAAACCCAACACTCTAACCATTGGGCTACCTATTTAATTTAGGTTACCCATATTTTCAAATATATTCAACTCCGCCCCAACCTAAAACCAAAATAAAAGTGGATCAAGTTGACGCACGGATCTAACCCAATACATCAAATGGGTTAGTCAAACCCTGTAATTAGTCAAACCCAACCTATAAGGTCAAACGGGTCAGTCAAACCCAGCCAACGTCTGACCCGTAAAACCAAATGGGTCAATTAAACCGGGTCAACAGCTGACTCATAAAGTCAAACAAGTCAAACTCGGGTCAAAATTGACCCGGTGAAATATGAAACGGGTCGACCTGACCCGAATTTGTGTGAGGCGCATGTGCCTCTTCAAAACGCATCTCTCCTTTAACTCTCCCTAATCACCGTTGCTCGCGACCTACACTTTCTACCGCAAGACAGCTGCTGTTTTGGCGCCCTCTCATCTGCTTTTCGTCGGGTTTTGGTGTTTAATCAGTGGGGTTTGTTGTTTTTGAAGTGTTGTTTGTGATTGTATCCTTGTTGTGTTTGGTCGAATGTAACCACCCCCCCAACAACACTCTAACCTTGCTGCTCCATCGTCACCCACCACCTGTTCGACCATTTGCCACAACAAGCCTACCCAACCCAGTGCCATCCTTTACTGTTGCGTGCGCAGCCTGCATTAAGATGGGAGGAGGAGTGGCAATTGGTTGTGTCGTTGGTGGTGGTGATGGTGCTGAAGGAGGAGGTGATGGGGTATGAAGTTTGGTGATTTCTGACAGTTTGGGTGAGAAATCCGGTAGGGATCCACGGAAAACGAGCAGCGCTGGTGCCGACAATGGTGGTGAGTTGAGAGAAATGGGGTTTTGACGCTTTTACCGTTAAATTAAAAGAAACGATGATAGTTTATGGGTAAAACCAACCAAGGGTATGAACTTAGGATTTCGGTAAACGTCAATGAGAACATGTCGTTTGCTCTTTTGAATTTAATTTCTGCGTCCTTAGTGATATCACTCCCTTTCCCAACCAATATACATTAGCTCCTGTATGTCAATCACATTTAAAAGTTTAATTTGTTAAATTTCTTTAGTAATATAAAAAGTAAATAAAACAAAATAGATAATAAAACAACTTGATGACATTGTTTTTTCTCTTTTGAAATTAAACAGGAGGGCGTGGGAGGATAACAAACCAGCATCTGGTGCTAACAAAGCCACAAGTGGTGGATTGACAATCTGTCTCAGTGCTTGTGAAGATAATGAGCAAGCTTTTGATACCTTTGTAAGGTTTTTCTATTTTGTTGCTTTTTTATTTATATTTTTAATGCGTAGTAAATTTATAGGCATACCTTATAGTTTAAATAATATGGTGAAGGAAATGTAAATAATTGATTATTATCGCATCATTTTGGATACCAACTGCATAGTAATTTTGATACCAACATGTTTAATATTGAAAGATTGTTCTAAAGGAATTTGTCGACATAAAAATGAGCAGGCTTTCGCCGAAAAGACAATGAATGGTGCCTTGACCTATCTTTTCGTGGAGGCTGGTAAGCAACACCCACAATTATCATACAGTTATTTACTTGATTTAATTCATGGAAGGATTGAAGAAATTAACAATAATATTAGTGCTACTCAGAAAAATTGCTTATGGAGCATCTCTAATGGCCGGTTATCGTAGGTGAGTTTGTCTTTCCATGGTTTAAAATTTAATGTCATTCCTTATTGTTAGTAAAGGGGTAACAGTGTCATTTGTCAATGCTATTAGTTGTTATGTTTCTGTTAGCTTTCAGTTAAGCTGTAACAAGATTAGTTAGAGTATTGTTACACTCATGTAAACACTATAAAAGTGTACAGTAAAACAAAATGTATTAACAAAAAAGAGAAAGTAGTAAAATAATTACAAAATATTAAGCTCTTACTCTCTCTCTCGTTTTCTTCTCCTCGTTCCAATTTCTTGGTTACCTTACCCAAAGTCTCACATGGTATCAGAGCCATTGACTAGCGTCAAAGATGGTAGATCTGACACATTTCTCTCCTAATTTAGCTAATTCAGCTCACAAAATACCCATTGGTTTAGTCGATTGCACGAATTCATTGTCAATGACCTACTCAGCTCTTCTAGTAATTTCCCCTAAACTAACTAGGGATAATTACAAATTTTGGAAATCCCAGATTCTGTTCGCAGTTGGATCTCAAGATTTAAAAGAGGACCTTACTGGATTAGTCTCATGCCCAACCCCATTTGTCAAGATTCAAGCTGAAAACTCGGAAGGGGCTGTGGAGAAAAGAACCAATCGAAAGTGTAATCAGTGGAAGAAAACCAACAAATTACTTGTAAGTTGGCTTCTTAGCTCAATCTTTGAATCTATGTTCAATGTAGTCTCAAAGTGTCAATTTTCTGTTGATATGTGGATTACCTTAGAAAATGATTTTCTTACCGAGTCAAGAACCAAAACCCTGCATATTAAGAATTTTTTGCAAAATACTAAAAAGGACAATCTAAATATGCATGAATATTTTGTCAAAATGAAAGGATTTGTAGATATGTTGTTTGGTAGTGGAATTATTGTAACTGATGAGGAGCTTTTGAATTATATACTTGAAGGATTAAACTCTGAATATGATCCTGCCATGGTTAATATAACCACCAGATTAGAGTCCCGTTTAGATCCATTAACGATTCAGGAAGCACAAATCATTCTGCAGAAATATGAACTTAGGTTAGAAAAAGCAAATCTGGCCCTGAATTCTGTCATCAACACTGAGTTTTGTGGGGGGTTAGTGCATCTTGCTATTGTTTCTACAAATGAAACTGATAAGAAATATCAAAATGAATTACAATCTAAGTTCAGTTTTGGACAAACCAGTTCTGAGCAATCTGGTTTTGGACAGTCTCAAATTCCTAGTCCAGCCTTTAATCATGGTTTCACACCTCATCCATACATTCCTTTACAATCCATTCCCAACCCTAACCACCCTATTAACCCATTAGCTTTCAACCCATCTTACTCCATAATTTGGGGGTAGCCGAGGTAGAGGCAGAGGTTTTGGAAGAAACAGGCTGGTATGTCTAGTGTGTGGAAAAAATGGTCACTTAGCATTAAACTGCTATCATCGGTTTGATGCTAATTTTACTGGAGCAAATAATATACCAGGCAGAAATCAGTTTTCTCAGAACTATATCAGATCACCAGAGAACTTTCAGCCACAATTCTACACTTCACATGGTTCTTATAACTCCAGTGCACATCGGCATATGCATTCACAGCTTGACTTCTCCAACAGTTCAAGTGCTAATTCAATTGGATTTTCAAGCAGTCCTCAGTCAATTCCTGTGCAGTCTCAATCATCTATGCACAATCATCATAATCAAGCACTTCTATCTCAAGCACATGCTCCTCCTGATCCTAATGTAGTTGCACATTACACTGCTACTCCAACCACAGTTCAAGATGTCTCATGGTACATGGATTCTGGAGCAATAGACCATGTGACCTCTGATGTATCTCAACTCACACTGAACTCAAACTACACTGGCAATGAGCAGCTTCAAGTTGGAAAAGGTGAGCTTCTTCCTATCTCTCACACTAGTTTTACTTCATTTTCATGTCAATCTAGATCTCTTCATTTGAAAAATGTGTTATGTGTGCCTTCTATTACAAAAAACCTGTTAAGTATTTCCAAATTCACCAAAGATAATAATGTCATTGTTGAATTTTTTTGCTGATCACTGTGTGGTTAAGGACAAGCACTCCAAAGCTATTCTTCTTCAAAGAAAGCTTAAAGCTGGCCTATACCAACTCCAAACTTCAACCAATACATCCTTTTCAAACTTAAATCTGTCTCCTGGTCAGTCAACTTCTTCATCTTCAGCTTTCAACACAACAACCAAGACTTCAAGCCTATTGCATCTTGAGCAACCTTTACCATTTTGTAGTAAAAAATAATGTTGCTAGTTCTTTGTATGATTTCAAACAATCTACTGATTCAGTTTCTGTCAATACTAGTTCAGCTCTATCTAGTCAGTCCAATCTTGTATCTGCTTGTAATGATGCTACTAATAATAATAAAGACAACATTTTTCAATCATTTCCAGTAGAAAAACCAATTGCATGTTGTGGCACAAACGATTAGGACACCCCAATGCTACTGTCCTTACTAAAGTCATGAATTCCTTGAACATCAATAGCTCAGTTCAAGGCTCTTTAGAATTCTGCACAGCTTGCCAATTTGGAAAACTTCATCAATCTACATTTCCCAGATCAGCTTCTAGAGCTTCTTAACCTTTAGAATTAGTTCATTCAGAACTTTGGGGACCAGCACATATTTCATCTCCTGAAGGCTTTAAATATTATATCCAATTTCTAGATGATTACAGTAGATTTACCTGGATTTTTCCCTTAAAAACTAAGTCTGAAACAAGTTTGGTTTTTTAGCAGTTTCATAAACTTGTACAGAGACAGTTTAATAAGCCTCTGAAAAGTGTCCAAACAGATTTTTTTTTTTTGGGGGTGGGGTGGGGTGGTTGAGTTTAGAAGTCTAACATCCTATTTTGCTAATCATGGTATTGTTGTAAGATATCCTTGTCCTTATACACATCAGCAAAATGGAAGGGTTAAACGGAAACATAGGCAAATAGTTGAGCAAGGGTTAACCTTATTAGCTCAAGCCAGCATGCCTCTAAAGTACTGGTGGCTTGCTTTTCAAACAACAACTTATCTCACAAACAGACTACCCACCCTTGTTCTATCCAATTCCTGCCTTTTTCAAGTTCTGTTTACTGCAAGAATTGTAGCAGAGAAATTCGTGGAAGGCATCATCAAGTTGCACGGTATGCCTAAATCAATTATTAGTGATCGGGACCCAACTTTCATCAGTAATTTCTAGAAAGAATTTTTCAAGCTGTCGCGCTCCAAACTACAGTTCAGTTCCGCATATCATCCGCAGACGGATGGCTAGACGGAAGTCATCAATCGCTGCGTTGAAAAATATCTTCGGTGTTATGTTCATCAGTGGCCATGAAAATGGAGCAGTTACTTACTTTGGGCGGAATATTGGTATAATACGACATACCATATTTCAATAGGGATGACCCATTTTCAGGCGCTGTATGGAAGATTGCCGCCTTCCATTCCGACGTATACAGAGGGACTATCACCGGTACATGAAGTTGATCGGTACATGAAGTTGATCAGCAACTCATAAACCGAGATGAATTGCTACGGCAACTGAAGGCTAACTTGGCAAATTTGGTAAACAGAATGAAGCAAATGGCAGATAAGAAAAGGAGAGATGTTTCGTTCAATGTAGGCAAATGGGTACTTTTGAAACTGCACCCATACCACCAGCAAACGGTCTTTAAAAGGGTTCATCAGAAACTAGCTAGCCGTTTTTATGGACCTTACCAAATTTTAGAGAAAATCGGGCCTGTCGCATATAAGTTATAATTATCGAAAGGGACGCGCATTCACTCAGTGTTTCATGTGTCACTCCTCAAACGGTACCAGGACAACGGCGGCAACGTGGAAACACCACAGGTCGAGTTACCACCATTTATTGATGAAGGGTGGTCGTCTTGGAGCCTCAACTAATTGTAGATTACCGTTGGATCAAACAAGGCACTCAAGTGGTCGAAGAAGGCTTGGTGCACTAGAAGCACCTTCCAGCCGAAGAGGCAATGTGGGAACCCACAAAGAAGTTACGAGAACTGTTTCCACATTTTGACCTTGAGGACAAGGATCCACTTGATGGGGGAGGTATTGTTAGGCCACGACGATCGGCAAGAGACAGGCGACCAAATCCCAAATACTTGGGATAAGCTGGTCGTGATGAGCAGGAATAGGTCAAGGCAAATAAGCTGGTCGTGACGAGCAGGAATGGGTCAAGGTAGTTGCAAGATTTCGTGCGAGTTTCATTTGCAAGGTTATGCACGAATTTACGTGCATGAGTTATGCTTAACTTTTGGAGTGTTTTGTTTACGTTATTTACGTGTCTATTTACGTGGATTGTAGTTCAGTTAGTTTCCCTTTATTTCGGTTTACTTGTACGAGACTTTGCTTTATTTAAGTAGCCGCAGTCATCAATGAAAGCAAGTAATTATTTCTATGCAAACTGTGGTACACTTCTCACCTGAAGAGAAGACAAAATATCTGATCATTTCATTCTCTGCATTTGGGACCTATTACTCGGTGAGTGAATAAATAATATGTGTTTGTGAGAAACTTTCTCATAAATACTAACATATGACATGTTATCCTAAACACTTCACCCCAATTTACTTTAGGGTGTCAAGTACACCTTTCTCAATACAAGAGATTTCACTCTTTCTCTAGAAATGTCCAATCAACCCAATAGTGAAACTAACTATTTACTATACAAGAATAGATGATCTAAAAAATGAATGAACAAGGTTTTAGCCTAGAAAGATCCAACCTACGAAATCACAAACAAGGGTGTAGAAATGTGTTTAGTTTAAAGTAATAAGTTTCATAAATGAAAGCTCTAAATTGGTTTGAACACTTTTTATTTATAAATTTGCAAGTTTTTGAGTGACTGTTAGAAATTAAATGGAACGAATTTATACAGGAGGGTCTCAAAAACTACTCTTGGAGCAAAAACCGGATGGAGTAGATGAGGAAAATATAGTTGTTATTGCTCAACGGTCAGCAAGATAATAGAGTAAAGAAAATTTTCTCTCAAGTATATTTGGCTGTGTAAGGAAATATGGGATTTACGTAGTGGAATATAAAACAAAATTTAAATCCCAATTCCTTTAAACCTGAAATCAGGGTTATGATTATATGTATTTAATTATTAAATTCACACAAGGTTTAATGAATTTACTATCGTTGGAGGTTCCTTCACTTTAATTTGTTCTTCCACAAATCAATCCAAATGTATGAGTGCACGAACTAGTCCACACGAAGGCACTAAAAGATCAAAAGGAAAAATCAAATGTTAGATTGATTTTGGAATTTTTTAGGATTAGGTTTTCAAATTAGGGTTAGGGTTTTATTATAAAATAATTTTAAAACTTTTCCTTCAATGAGTAGTAATTATGATTATATGTATTTAATTATTAAATTCACACAAGGTTTAATGAATTTACTATCGTTGGAGGTTCCTTCACTTTAATTTGTTCTTCCACAAATCAATCCAAGTGTATGAGTGCACGAACTAGTCCACACGAAGGCACTAAAAGATCAAAAGGAAACATTGTTAGATTGATTTTGGAATTTTTTAGGATTAGGCTTTCAAATTAGGGTTAATATAAAATAATTTAAACCTTTTCCTTCAATGAGCAGCAATGGGCGGTGACCCTAGATTAAGTGACTAACTTATACTCAATTATTTTGTAAAATTACAAAAGGCCCCTTTATAATAACATTACCAAAAGACCTGTAATGGTAAATTGTTAAAAATTACAAAAGGCCCCTTTATAATAACATTACCAAAAGACCTGTAATGGT